CAGGGGAAGTGATTCATTTCACTGCTTTGGGAAAGGCACTGTTTTTACCCTGTTTTGCATGTAATGCTCCAGAAATTTTGAATGTACAGTAAGTGGGATAGACAGGTGGATCAATTTATCTTGACTCCAGTGTTTTTTTCTTTTCAAAGCAGCCATTAGTATACAAAATACGTTGTATTTTAGTGTCAATTAAAATACAACGCTGTTCTCTTTTTCTACATCAAAAAGGAAGAAGAGAAAATCAGAAACTTAATTGAATTCCATTCTTTTTAATAAACAACAAATTAAAATAACTGAAAACCTCATATTCTTTATATTCAAAGACTGAATCCGGTCATCTAAAGGCATGAACCAAGATTATGTGGTGGAAGATATGTCCAACGGCTGTTTGCATATTTTTGGATTGTGCGCATACGTCACGGTCCCCTCCTTCGCAAAAGTTATCTATGCTGGAAGCGACTCCACTGATAATTTTGTATTTCACCTAGAGAGCTAGCAAAATGTCAGGATGCACCTAGTCAGCAGGAAATCAGCAAAAGAAGCAGAGGTCTCTGCCGGCATTATTATATTTATAATTTGTTAGTGTCTTCTTGCTGCTCTTGCTACAATTAACTTTGGGTTTTGAAATGGTGGTCTTCCCTGTGGTGAATGTTTTTTTTAATAAAAACATTGCATTTAAAAAAAGAAATCTGCATGATGTTGTTGAAATGCTTCGCCTGCACTCTGTTTTGTGTATTTAGATTAAGGTGGTATTATAAATCCAATCTTAGATTGTTCATATTCCAGATTGTAATCTAACATATTCATAATAAAAACATTCCATAATGAAAAAAATCGCCACATAAAGTCAGCTTTTTTACAATCAGAAAAGATCCTTATAGCTAATGCTCACCGTCTTGCTAATTACCCAAGCTTCCACAAATATTTGCAGTTTGTCAGGATTCTCTTCAGCCATTGATGCTCCACTTTACACAAAATAGTAAACAAATAGCTTAAACAAAAGCAGCAGCAGAAAACTAGCATAGAAGTACTTCTTTGTGCTTTCAGGTAATGGCGGACCGCTAGTCAAATGTGGATGAGTTGTAGACTATGGCGGCACATATAAAATATGTTTGATTGATAAACAAGTAGCCAATCCACTTTGAACAGTAGGCAAAGTGGATCGACTAATGTTTTGTAGGCACCACCACGGCCAGAGTTTATGGATTTTTGTTTTTTTAGCTGATCTCTTATTTGACACAGAAAAAGAAAACCCAAAAATCAAGACCTAGCGCAATTATCAACATTTAAGAAATATGACTGCAGCTAGAAGGAAGTGTTGGAATAGCACTATATTCAGTTTCTGGCATCTTTAAAAAAAATCTGCCCTGATTAGCATGAAGTTATACACACACCCACACACACATATATATATACATTTATATATACATATATACAAATATATATATATATGACGGCCTAGTGGTTAGGGCATAGGGCTTCTATTTACATACTTTCAGGGCTTAAGAAACTGAAATGAACTGCCAGAGTTAGTAAAAGCCATTAATGGTTTTGCATGCTGTTGATGTGCTTGCAGAAAGACATTCCTTTTTATCTGTTTCCCACTATAAATAAAGTATCTATTGCTAGCCCACAGCACTTTTGCCTGTTTTGCTTATCCAATATAAAGAATACATAAATAAAAATGTATTATAGCCTGATAAAATTAGTATGTTCAGCATGGTGGAGCAGTGGTTATTGCTCTTGCCTCACAGCAAGAAGGTTTTGGGATAGGCTGAGGCTTTTCTGTGTGGAGGTTATGGTCCCCCTTTTTTGTGTATGTTGCCTTCACGAAAGACATACTGATCATGTCAGCGAGCTTCATCCAAGTGGGTCAGGCTAACCCTTCATCTGTTCTATGAAATGTCATTGTTTGTACCCTGTATGTGTATGACAAATAAAGCATCCTTTCTTTTGAGTTTTAGGCTCAGAAGTTTTGTTATTTGCAGTTGGTAATACATGACTGATTCATGTCTGTTTATATTAAAAGCTGCATGTCTGAAACTTTGCTATAATCGTTGGTTCCATCTAAATGTTTGGTAAATGTTTCCACTCCCCGTTGAATTTTTTTTTTTTGAGTTTATGTATCTGGTTATCAGAACAATAAAAACCAGCATTTGAGGGA